CGTTCTTCGTTTCTCACGTCAAAATTGCCATTTTTGAATTTTTTTAAAGCACTCAAAGCACTGTGATTTACCAAGAGCATGCTCACCGTAAGCTTCGACAAGCATTCGATGACTTCGATGCTGCATTCTGCAGCAGTTTTCTGCAAAACTGGTAACAGAAAATCAATGCTGTCCGTAGTTTCCAGGCACAAAATTCGACATGTTCAACGCTATTACTAACTATACTGTTGTATGAAACTTGTATTGTTGTGAGTTGAAAATCTTTGTCAGATGTCAGAACAAGGAAATGGCGCCAATGACGCGGTCTGACGGCAACTACATTGACAGCTATGGCCATCTATTGGTAAATTCCGGTTTCATATTTACATACCTGGTACTATTCCACTACACGTATGTATCACGAAATAACCACTAAGTCTTTTACACGTCCTATATTAATCATTTTATGTAGATTATAATTTATGATGGCGTTACTTATTACAGTGACAAATCGATTCAACTCACAATAAATTCATTAATATTAACAGTAAGAAACTGAAATCATAACACAATTGGACTTTTATTTTCAAAGAAGTTCCCCAGAGAGACATTTCCTCTCTAGGGTGGTACAAAAATAAGCGGCTAGGCCGCGCGCTTTAAAAATAATATATTTATTGCGGAGGACAAAGGTCCCCCCCTCCCCCCGCATGGGCAATTAAAGCTAGAAGACTGAGGGGCAAGCCCCCCAGTCTACGCAGTTGTATCACAATAAGTTTCATTCCCCCACCACGCAAGCTGGGGGGATACGTTATCATAGTATATTGTTCCTCCGGGATATCACAGAAGTGTCGTCAAATATAAAAGTCCCGGAGGAGCGCGCGCAGCGGAATAATAAATAATAATATTAAAATTAAACAGTGTAAATCGCGAACACTCACACTCGTGTAAAATACAAAATCGCAATACGCGGTATATACACTCGAACAGTCAGGGCTCCACAAACAGATAGAATAAATATATAATAAATAGATAAATATAAAATATAAAAAAAACTAAAATGCGCTTAAAAATAGAAGTGTACAATAGTACATAGACAAGAAAAGATAGAAAATAGAAAGAAGATAGAAGATAGGAAAGAAATAGAGATAAAATAGCATAGCTAAGAAAACAGTGAAGGTTACAAAAGTAAAACCGAATAAATAGAATAAATAATTAAAATCAGCAGAGAGGGGTCCCGTCCAACAGTCAGGTAGTATATAATAAATTAACTATAAAATATACAGGGTGTCCGAAAAGTATGGAAACGGTCGAATATCTCGAGAAATACACATCAGATCAGAAATCTGAAAATGTATTTAATGTTTTCAAAAAAGCTATCTTTTGACATCTAACATGACCCCCCACCCCCACCCGCTGTGGGTTAAAGAGAGGGTTAGTTTAAAATTTTAAATGGAAACCCCCATTTTTTATTGCAGATTTCGCTTCTTCAAAAAAAGTTACATAAATTTTACCTATTACAAACATTTTTTTGATGACAGATGGCGCTGTAATCAGCGAAATTAAAAAATGAGTCTAAAACGGTTAAAATATCTCAAGAAATACTCAACGGAGCATATTCTCACCCTGGAGATGGATGGGCGGGTAACTTTTCGATTTGAACATCAATTTGAACATCTTATTTAGTAGTTGACATACATACATATGTATGTACATATTTTTAAAAAATCGAGTAAAGGAAATAAAAAAAAATTAAACTTAAAAAAACAAAAAAATTAAAAACTGTTACGTCCTGAGCGCGAGTTTCTAGCAGTCTCGAGACTCGACACAAGTTGTGGGAACGCGAGCGCGGAGCGGGGCGCGCGGGGCGAAGCCTTGGCTTCTATGCGGTGTTTTGACGCCCTTTTCTGTCGTTGGAATAGGCAGCTGTCACCAGTGCTCGGAAATGAGCACGAAATTCGGAGATAATGTATTTAATTCTAAGAGGTTGGTTGAGTTTAAGTAGTTAGCCTTCCAGGTTCTTCCAATAAAATAAAATGGAGAGTTTAGAGGATGCGTCAGTTGACTTCATTTCGCATCTCTCTATCTACACTCTCCTTTATGTTGAGAAGGACTTGGAAGGATTTGAGAAGGCCTAAAGGGCAGATAAATAAAAATAGAAATAATTTAGACTATACGATTTTAATGTCAATAGAACATGGTGAGTTGCTAGTTATTCGAGGTTTGTTTGTTATGAGTATGGGCCTCGTGGGCTTGCGCACGGGCGCTATATGTGGCGGAGACTGTGGAGGCCTAGGTCGCGGCTGCGAAGTTGCAGTGACCGTTTTTGAGCCCTCGGAATTGTGGACCACGCCTGATGTGCTCACGATTTCGCGCGCCGTGGTTGGCGCGTCGGCGATAGGCTCGTAGGTCTCCTTAACGTTATCTTCCCAATGGCGGGAAGGGTCAAACGTGCCTTCCGCGAACAGTTCCCGTTGGAGCCTTTTTATATGAACGCGCCACCCTCCTCGCTTGCCGCGTGG